TTTCTCTTTGCCTGTAGAGGAAGATATGAAGCTCTCAGCTCCAGAGACATGTCTGCCTGCACGCCACCATGCTCCCTGCTATGATGATAATGGACTAACTCTCTGAAACTGTAACCAAGCCCTCAATTAAATGCTTTCTTTTATAATTGTTGCCATGGTCATGATGTCTCTTCACAGAAATAGAACAGTGACTAAGACATGGGCCCTTACTGAGAGACCAGTGAAGGAGATGTTCTGGGCATAGCATTGCTTGGCACTTGAAATTTTTTCATGGCCTCTTTTTTTTTCTTTAATTGGTGTGATATACATACATATATATATACATTATACAGACTTATTGGGTTATATATAACCTGCTATATATATTACGGGCTGTGCTGGCCTTCTTCCACCCCCACCCCTCTCATACCACGTCCAATCTGTCTACCACACAGAAGGGTCTGGTCAGCAGGAGCACATCCTTCTGCAGGATCTAGCCTGTCAGTCAGCCTGACCCTCCATGCACCCTCCCAATCCCACCACTCCAGATCTAGCCCAGGGTCCACATCTAGTACCCTGGCCTAATCTGGACACTCTTGCCTGCACAGCAACCAACCTCTATGCTCTACAGAGCTCCTGCCCTCCCAGGACCCACAGGCCCCTCCCAGGCCACGTCTATTTGGTATTAGGAGACTGTCTTAGTTATTTTTCTATTGCCGTGACAAAACATCACGACCAAGGAAACTTATAAAAGAAAGTATTTAATTTGGAGGTCATGTTTCCTGAGGGTTTAAGTCCATGGTCATCATGGTGGGAACATGGCAGCAGACAGGCAGGCAGGCATGGCACTGGAGCAGTAACTACTAGCTTACATCTGATCCATAAGCATGAGGCAGAGAGAGAGAGAGAGAGAGAGAGAGAGAGAGAGAGAGAGAGAGAGCGCCGAGAAGTTTCCTGGACTTTTAAAACCTCAAACAAAGCCACACCTTCTAATCCTTCCCAAACAGTTCCACTAACTGGGGATGAAGCATTCAAATCTGTGACTCAGTGGAGGTTATTCTCACTCAAACCACCTCATTAACCAATTGGTGTGCTCTTCCCTGGGGAAATCTATTTCTTCCATTCCCAGCATTCCCTGGTTGCCTGTAGCTCTTTCTGTGGGGTTGGGGCCTCTTGACTCACCCTTCCCCATCCACAGTAGCACGTTTACTGATGCTGAATTTTAATGTAGCTCCTGGAAGATCCACAAGTTTGAGCAGACACCACGCTCCAAGATCCCCCTACTTTCAGAAAAATGATTGTGTAGCACCGTCTGTTTATCTAAGACCTGAGCAAGTGATTCCAGCCTGGAGTTCACGCTCCATATGTGCTTGGCAGAGGAAGGTACTAGGTGAGGAAGAATTCTGGGATACGGGAGTGTGGGGTTCTCATAGGTTTGAACATCAATCATACTGTGTCTCCAGATGCCAGAGGTACACCGCATGCCTGGGTCACTGGCATGCAACAAGAGCTGTAGATGTTTATTTCTGTGGACTCCAGTCTGCAAACAGATGAAATGGAACTGGGCCCCAGGCTAAGCTGGATCTTCACTCTGAGCTTCAGAGAAGACATTTCTTCACCAACGTGCCAGCTAGGCACCCAGGCCTGGATCCCAGCTGAATGCACACTCTAAATCAATTGGAATTGAGTCACCGATATAATTAATTTAATGCATTTAAACGATTTTCTGTATAGTAAACGTGTTGAATGAGGGTGACCCAGAATACCAAGTCTGACCAAGAAGTGGAGACTGTAAGAGCGATGATGAAGCCGCTTCAGCAAATGCAAAGCGCTTCAAGCTCTTCCCAGTTGTTTCCGTCTAACTCCTCACTGATTGCTAAACTTGGCCTTCCGCAACCTCCCTGGGCCACATAGGCAGTTTGTACTGTGTCAAAGGATATTGTATTTTCAGCAATCCAAAGATAATTTTAATGAGACCTGTCTGCAACCCAGAGCCAGGTGCATCGTAATACCCAACAAAGGGGGTTAGCAGAAGACAGAACAGAGAGCCCAATGGATTCACACTGCAGCCTTTCTTGACTCGAGGACTCACAAGGGCAGCAGGGACAGGGGTGGAGTTGGAGGAGGATGGTGGGTCTGCCTGCCACTGAGGCGCTGCCAAGTCTTGGTGCTGGGGCCACGAGGGAGCCATACCCCCTTCCAGATCAGTGTCACTGGTAACTTTAGGGTGTTGGCTCTGAGCGGTTTTAAGAGTGTGTGTAGGTCTGCTATTGGCTGAATTATGACTCAGACTGGTGCAGGTGTCAAGGAATTTCCCATTAGTAAGAAATTCATCTTCAAGCCCTGGAAAGCATTTTAGCCCGTCTTAGCTAATTGCTCATCAAGTAGTGATTATTTGGCTTAGATGACAGGGTGCGCTTCACAGGGGTTATAAATGAGCTCCGGTGAAGCCTTGCCAGGCGCCAGGCGCCAGGCGCCAGGCAAAGGGCTGCCTCAGAGCTTAGAGATTCAGCAAAAGGCTTCTGGGCTTCCGAAGTGATCCATGAGCCAGGCTGTGTTGGGTGTCATGAACTCATTCTACCAACAAGAGGCAAAGTGAAGGACGGGTAGTCTTGAGCACCCTTCCTCTCCAGGTGAGCAGAGAATGTGCATGGGGAAGGGACCAGGCGGGATGTTGTAACTGGGAGGAGAGGCTGTGGAGAGAGGTTCCTCTGCTAACCCAGAAGCTCATACCCTAGGCTAGCCCTGAACTTGCTATGTAGCCACAAGTGACCTTGAACTTCTGGTCCTTCTGCCTCTGACTCCTGAGTGCTGCAGTAATAGGCCTGTACCACCAAGTGTAGTGTTTTTGACACTGGGGATGGAACCAAGGAATTTGCTCACACCAGGTCAGCACTGTACCAACAGGGCCATGCCTCTAGTCCGAGGAGCCTCTTTCTTTCGAAGCATCTAAAGCTCTATGTAGTTCAGGCTGGCCTCAGGTTCACAATCCTCCTACCACCACCTCCAAAGTTCTGGGATTATGGACATGTGCCGCCATACCTCTGCTTTAGTAAGTTTTATATTGTGGACTTTGAGTGTGATTTTATAAGGGGTTCTGAGCATTTTTTTTTTAAGCCAGAGTTTGAGGCTCGATTCAGTAAAAATGTACTTGGCCAGTACAGAGCCTTCATGTCTGAATATGGGAGGGGGTGTCCCTGTTTACATTCTTTGAACCCAACTTCCCTTCTGCAAACTGAGAGCCCCCCTCTCAGGGGAGGTGGCTGCTGAGTTATAGCTTGCATTAAAATCACCTGGAGGATTGTTAAGGACCCAGAGTTTAGAGCCTCATTCAGTGAGTCTAGCAAGCTCTTGGGTGATGCTCACCACACTCTGCGAATGGCTGCCCCATGAGAGTCCTTGTCAACTCTAGACTTGAGTCCCCACTTACCTTTCTAGTTGTGCCATCCGCCTCCTCAGAGTTCTGTCTCAGATGATGATATCCTCCCCTAACCAATCCCATCTTCCCTCTTACTCAACCTTCACCTGGTCAGTCATCCTTGAAGGCCTAGTGCTTGCACACTACTCAAGGCCAGGTTCAAATGTTGCCTCTTCTGAGAAGCCTTCCCTGAATTCTCCACAGAAGTCAAGGACATCCTTGTAAGCTGGTGGAGTTCTCTCCAAGGCCAAATGCTTTTAATCCTTCCATGTCAGCTCTGCTCAGGTCTCACTCCTAGATCTACACCACGGCACATACTGCAGTTCCTGCAAGACCTGCTGGCCACACACATTGCCAGCACCTGAAAATGTCTTCCAAACTCAGCATGTAAGTAACATATCAACCCTCCCCTCCTGTGCTATCCCTTCGTGGACTGATCTCTAGTTGATTCTGAGTCAGACAAAACAAATATAACACATTCACCCATCCCTGCTTCAGCCAAAGCTGTGTTTGCTAGGAAGACCAGAGGCAGACAGAGTACCACAAGATGCCCTACACTCATTTCCAGAGGGCAGTGTCATGCAGCCATGATGACCGAGATCCACACTCAAGTCCCAGCTCTTCCTTGGGTTAACTGTCTACTTCAAAGCTCTGAGTTCTAGGCTGCTCATCTTTTAAAGGTCTAGAAACAGCAACTCTCCCTCTCCAGGAGCATAAAGATGCAACAGGACCATTAGGAGCATATCAAGAGCTGGCATTTCCTGGGTTCCAGCCCTAGATATACACAACTGGGTAGCATCTACGTGCAGGGTCGAGCCCTCCGTGATGTTGAGGATCTGTTGAGTATGATCAGTGCTAAGTTTCCAATGTCCATGTAAGGCACGTATTACTATCTGCGTTTCCCAAGCAAGAAACTTGAAGCTCAGACCAGGGAATCCCTCCACTTAGTATTACTAGCAGGTGCCACACAAAAACCTTTTGTTGTCTTGTACTAGAGATTGGACCAAGGACACTGGGAACGTTGGGTAAGCATTCAAACCCAGAGCCATGTCCCCAGCCCTCTTTTTGCTTTCAATTTTGAGACAGTTATACTGAGTTGGTCACGCTGGCCTTGAGTTTACTCTGTAGGATAGGCACCTCTTGAACTTAAGACCTTCCTGCTCTAGTCCCCCAAATGTCTGGGATTACAGGCCTGCATCTTCAGGCCCAACACCATGACTAATCTTTGCAACTACTTTGCAGTCAGAAGCACCGCTCCCATTTTGTGACTGGAAATGTGCAATGCAAAGAAGATCACTCATAAGTGAAGATGCAGAATTTGAACCTGAACTTGGCCCACTCCACCCACAGGGTGATGGACTGCACTCACCCCTGCAGGCATTTATCGTTTCTTAAGGCCAGTCATGGAAGTGTTTCCCCAGTGAAAGAGCCCACCCCACCCCAGCACTCTTTCCAATCCTTCCACAATCCTGTGGCTCACAGGATATCCTGGGAGAAGAAATCACATATCAGCACACATCAGCAATGCCTAATGGTCCCTCTTATGACCTTGTATGACCTCCCGAGGGCACCGAGAAAACAGCCAAGGAAACTGGGGACTGACCGTGACCCCGAAGAAGTTGGTTTCGTTCATGGCGTTGAGGATGATTCTGCCCAGCGTGTGGTCTGTGTAGTTAAAGTCCTGGATCCGCTGGTGTCTGCTACTGGCATGCAGTGTCTCCATGGCCCTCTGCAGGGTCTTGGCGATGACCCAGATGCCGTCATAGGCGTACCCGTGGAACTTGCTGGGCCCCACACCGGAACGCTTGCTGTTGTATTCTCTTTCGTATTGCTGTGGAGTCTGAAAATGCAACGGGGTGGGAGACATGGAGTTACAGCAGGCACACAAGGCACACAGATACTCCTCAGAGTCTGTTGTGTGCCCATCACAACGCTGGGAGCAGTCCATCCTGTCATTTCATTCTGCAATGATTTCCTAAGGTGGCAGCCATTACTGCCCCCATTTTACAGATGTGGACACCGACTTGCTTAGGTCCCAGAGTCAGTCAGTGACAGGACTGATCTAGCCCTGCCTGCCTGGAAGACTAAGCAGAGGGTGTAATATACACTAATCATATCTCCCCATGATGTTTGCAGGATATGGGTCTGGAGAATTCCTGGCCTGCTTACCGAGCCTAGAAATTGAAGCTATATACAAGCTGACAGAATATTCAATGATTAATTTTCAGTTTCCCGCCAGAATAATCATACATTCCAAATGATTTGAAGAGCTGGGTTTGAATTCAGCACTGGGGGCTCCTCAGAGATTCTGGTCCAGCACTGCTTGGGAAAAGCCAGCCTTGCTGGGCAGTCCAGCCTCTGTAGTCCCTTCCCTTCCCACTGTCTCCAGCCAGCAGCTCATGTGCTCTCTCTGTCCTTTGGCCTCACCCTCAGAGATCTCTGTACCATCTCAGAGATGGTTGTCCTTAAGAACTGGTGCCAAGGAAGGCCACAGGTCCCAGGCTGTGGAAATGGCCTTAGGACCTGGGCAGGGCACTCAGAATATGGGCTAAAAGATAAGTCTAACGTTTTACCTCCTGATATGATGCAGTCATTTACTAAGTTCACGATCCAGAACCATGCGATCAAGCATTGCAAACCCATCAAGGTTTTAAGCTTCTGACTGATCCTGTGTTGGGCTGTATTCATAGCTATCCTTGGCTGCATGCATATTCCACATGCCGGACTGAGATTCTAGAAGGTTCTAGTTCTGTACTCATAGCCCTGTGGATTCTGAGCCCTGATGGACCCTGTAAGGCCATCTTGGAACACAGACCCTGAGGCAGACCCAAGCAAAGACAACCTCTACGTTCTACTCACTCCTTCAAAGCTACAGAAGGGACTGTGAACCAACTGACACTGAACCACAGATTGCCCACTGTGCCTTACTGAATTTTATGAAAGAATCCACTGGTGATATTAATGTCCTGATTGGCCACAATTTCCCGAAATCACTTTTTGACTCTGGTGCCTGAGATTGTCCTTCCATGTGATGCCACCTGGGGAATCCTTGACCTCAGCCTCCTCTCCATGAACCGTTCTCAACTCCTTCTGAACTCTTCAGCGGGAAAAATTACCACAGCCCCCTGGGAAAACCCTCTGAGGGGTCAAACCACACAGAAACTGGATCCCTGTCAGTTTACATTCAGAAGGGCCCTTAGAGAGGGTCACATGCCCCCTCTGTACAGCCTGAGGGCCGAGGGTCACAGTGTAAAAAGGGGCTGTTGAGCTGAGCACACACTCATTGCTCTCTCCTCCTGGCTGCAGTGGTGATGTGGCACCTGCTTAAGCTCCTGCTGCTGTGACTCCCGACCATGATGGACTGCAACCTGGAGCCGAGCCAAAATAAACTTTCTCCTCCACGCTGCTTTTGTCAGGATATTTTGTCACAGTAACTGGAAGAGAAACTAAGACTGTCTATTTCTGGTGGTTAATTTAGCTCTTGTGTATTTTTAAAGTATATAAAAGCTACCTAGATGCTTTTCCCTCACCTTGGCTTCTTGAGGCAGGGTTTCTCTGGGTAGACCTGACTGTCCTGGAACTTGCAAGCATAAGAGGAATGAGACCCTTTGACATCTGTCTTCTTGGATTTCCTTCCCTACATCTGCTCTCGGGTGCACACAAAGGCATCGGAGGGTGGGCTGCCTGTGTTGCTCAGCTGCCTGTGGTGTTGGTCAGCTTTCTGCAACTGTAACAGAATATATGAGCTTAAGAAAAACCTTTAGAGAACGAAGTTTTGGTTGGTGAGTGGAAGGCCTTATTGTTTTGTCCTGGGGTGAGGCGGCTCATGGGTAGGGGGTGTGTGGTCAACAATACCACTAACTGTATGATCCAGGGAAGAAGGAGAAAGAGGAAGGAACCCATGTCCCACAATTCCTTCCCAGGGTATTCCCTCTCCAGTGACAATGATGTCTCACTAGGCTCCAAGTCCCAAAGGTTCTATGACTTCCCAACAGTGTCCTCCTGGGGAGCAAATCTTTAATTCATGGCCTTTGGGGACAGGTGTCTAGGCCATGACAGCATGCATCTAGAATTTCATTTATTCAGCCTCATGGTCCAGTCAGGTGACATTTCTGGTCATGTCCTAGGGCATATTTCAAGCTGTCTGGCATCCTCTAAAAGTGAGGGGCTGTTACAGTTTGGATTAAAAATGTGCCCGATTCGCTCACATGCTTTAATGCTTGGTCCCCACTTGGTGTTCTGTTCAGGAAGACTGTGGGAACAGTGGGAGGTTGGGGCCTTTCTGGAGGAACTGAATGGTTAGGAGGTGGGCTTTGTGGCTTAGAGCTTTGCCCACTTCAAACCCAAGACTCTTTGTGTTTCCTGGTTTCCTGGTTGGTAGCCAGGATGTGAACAATCGGTACCATGGGCCCCCAACACCACAGCCGTAAGACACTCCAGCTGCAAAGCCTTCCTCATCGTGGCGAACTGTATCTCCTCAAACCATCAGACAAATAGATATCCCTTTCCTTAAGCCTGAAATTTGTTCCCAGCAATGGGACAGTAACAACGGCAGGGTGGGATGGAGACCTGAGGGGAACAGGCCCAGCATGGCCTCAATAGCAGGTCATTGCCCACATACTTTAACTCTCTTGATTTACTGTGTGTGTGTGTGTGTGTGTGTGTGTGTGTGTATCTGTACCATAAAAGGATTGAGATCACACAGCCTATTTGATTTGGCCTTGGGACCAACACAGGCCCTATGTCTACTTCTTACGTGAGTCACTTACACATCTCTAATTTTTTCCTACCTTACTTTTCTCCTTTTGTTGTTGTCCTGAGAAATGAGGAGCAGGATCAGAGCCATGGAGATGAAGGGCCTGGCTGTCCACCGTGTTTCTATGAGCTATGAGCAGAGGCTTGGGGGTAGGTCTCATTGCCTTTCCTACTGGGTCATATCCTTTTACCACTGCTCCCTAGGGATGCCAGGGCCATCCTAGGGCAAGTTCTTATGAGTATCAGACACCAGGCCTCCACTGGCAAGCTGACAAGAAGTCATAGCATTGTTCTTCCAGATGTTATATTTATCACAGGGGCTAGAAGTTTCTGAGACAGAACTTTATATAGACGGCTTCCCTTACTCTCAGGCTAGATTTCAGTGTAGTTTGAGAGGCAGTTTTTAGGGCTTGGAACATACTTTCCCTCTGAAAATGTGTTGTAAAGAGTGGCTAATCTCTCAGGCTAGCCTGCAAGGCCTTGCAAAGCTAACAGGTGGCCCAGTGCTATGAGTTTGTGATTCCAGCAGAGCCATGTTGGCATGGTTCACATGGATCATCTGCTTGACAGGATGTAGGCTCACCCGTGTTTATAAGGGGTTTCTAAAATTGGGTTAACTGAAGTGAGAAGTGGGCAGCACCATGGCACGGGCTGGGGCCTGGACCAAAGAGACAGGAGGAAGTGTGCCGTGCGCCAGCTTCATCTCTCTCTGCTGCCTGGCTGAAGACGCAGTGTGAACAGCTGCCTTAAACTCTTGTTACCATGACATCCTAGCTCCGATGGACCAAACCCCGAACTGTGAGCCAAAGAAGCTCTTCCTTTTCCTTCCTTTCATCCTTTCTTCAGTTACTTTTGTCATATATTTTTTAATGATGAGTCTTGCTTCCTGAAGAATTCAGCCTTGTGGACAGAAGGGAGAGGGACAAGGACACACCTTCTTTTATGTTTTAGTACACACACACACACACACACACACACACACACGAACACAAACGATACACTCTCACACACAAGCACACCTGCACACACATGCATGCATACACACACATGCATACACATGTACACATACATCAACCTGATCAAAGTACAGATGAAAGTCAAAACAATGCCTTAACAGTAGCTAGAGAGAAGAGACACATCAACGGTAAAGGACCAATGTGTGATAGCTGGCTTAACAGAAATAATGAAAGCCAGGAGACGGTGACCTCATAAAGCTGGAAGGAAATGGCAGATGAGCTAGAGGCTACCCCTTGCTAAGAAAGTGCTCAGAGGTAAAGGTGAGGCAAAGGACACGTCACACAGCTAGGAGCGGGGAGAACGAGTGCGGTAGAGGATAGCTGAGGAAGCTATCCGAAAGGATACATGGAACATGTATGTAGGGCGCTGAAGTTGTCCCCCTGCCTCCACACGCACACTCCTGTGCACACGTATAAAAAGTATGAGAAAATGTCCAATTCCGTTAGCAGCCAGGGACGTGCAAAGTAAAACTAAAGTGGGATGCCACGTCCCACCCACAAGCTTGGCTAAAATTAAAAAACTGACAACACCAAGTGCTGACAAGCCTGTGCACAGGGTGGAAGTCCCCCTCACTGCTGGTGGGTGTGTAAGTCAGTAGAATCACTTTAGAAAGCTTCTTGGCGGTGTCTGTGAGAGGCCACAGATGCCCATTCTGTGACTCAGAAGTTCCACCAGACTCCGCACCCAAGCGCGGGGCAAGCAAGCATCCACCACAAGACAGCAGATAGGAGCAAATCAGGAAAAAAATGCACACGGAAGCTCCACCCAGAGAACACCAAGCAGTTCTCAGAAATGAGAGAAAAAAAATGCAAAATCACAGGATTCCCAGCCTGAACTGACTAACATGACTACCACACCCATTTCCTAGACTTTGACATACAGTCAGTCCAGCCCTAATAACAACCAGTAGGTCTCCACGCAGGGTGTGTAAACAGTTGGTGTGATCACACACGTGGAAATTTTAGCAGCGCTTGCTGTAGGTGAGGGACATCGAAGCCATGCATCCACCCAGAGATGCATTACTGATCTTCCATCCCAAGCCACACAGAGGTCTGCTCAAGGTAGGACGGGGGGATTTGTAGGGTAACACCATGGAATACTATGCAACACTGAACATGAAACATTTTAGCTATCACTCCTATGTGTTTCAGAAAGAGGAAAGGCCCACAAGAGTTCACGCATTACAAGTCTAGAGCAGCTGACTGTAGGGCAAAGGAGTCAGAGAGTGGCGGCTGCTGCTAGTGCTGTTGGCTGGGAAGAACATCGGATGACTTCTAGGCTTCCTTCACCTGCTTTGCACAGGCTCACTCCTCTTATCCCACTGTCTGGCTGTGAGCTCTGCCCCATGAACCTCCTGCCCCAGTGCTCAGCCTGAATGCTAATGAGCACACTGGGTGCAGACTGAGCAATTCCCACTGTGCCACATCACGTGTCCTCACTAAGCTGTGGAAGAGACATCGTCACCAGTACCCCAGGTAAGAAAGAGGCGGAAGTTGAATGACTTTCCCTCTGTCAATCATAGGCTCACCGTGCAACAGCCAACAAGTTATCTGTGACTTCCATGAGACTGCTCCCGTCTGTTTCCAGCAAATGTCACCCATGGGCTTCCAGGCCAGCCTCACTAAAGGATCAGAGACCTGGATTCTGTCTCTGAATCTCCATGTCTAGAATGGAGTTTCCTTTTTAAGGCTACACATCATATCAAGGTGGCTGCCAGAGTGCCAGGGAGCTCATTCTAATTCCAACCAACACAGAAGATGAATTTCCTCCTTGTCGGGTTTTCTGGAAGTCTGAGGAACACTCATCTGTCTCATGGGCCATGATAGAACCCTGGCCACAGCTGGCTTGGGAAGCTAGGGACTGTCCATTTTTCAAAGAGTGGACACCTATCTGCTTGAAGTCAGAATCCTGTTACTGGGGACCGGGAGGAGGGGAGACAAGAATGTTGCTATAGACACAGCCACCTGCCCAATCAGGATTCAGATCTAGCCAGTGTGTCCTCATAAGCCACCAACCTCCTCCTGAGCCAGTTCCTCCATCCTGCACTGTCTCCCAGGGAAGTAGCCATATGGAGATTGTAGGGGGTGGGGCATTAGCACTGTGAGGCTGGATCCTGCATTCTCCTGCCTTTCCATGCCCTTCCCTGCTTCCATTTCAGACTGTGGGGTGGGTATAGTGACCACCTTCTCAAAACCTCCCATTTCCCATCACTGTGTCCATGGGAAGTGTCAGGATTCAAGGGCCCCAGCCAATGGCTGAGGACTTGCTGGGTCTCTCAACCCTACTGGGCACAGAAGCCCCTCCCTAGGTGTGTTGGTTGATAACAAGCTCAGGCCATCTGGAAAGAGGGAACTTCAACTGAGAAAATACCTCAGATTAGCCTGTAGGTGAGTCCGTGGTGACTTTAATTGGTTGATGGGGGTGTGGGGGGCAATCTACTGTGGGTGGTGCCACACCTGGGCAGGTGGCCCTGGGTTGTATAAGAAAGCTGGCTGAGGAAGCCAGGGGAGCAAACCAGTCAGCAGCACCCCTATGCTTCTGCCTCAGCCCTGCCTCCGGGCTCCTGCCCTGGGTGATGTCATGCTTTCAGACGGACATCAAGACTCCTCTGCGGTATCACCAACCATGCCACTTAGCCTCACAGGGATCCTGTGGACCATGATGGCTTTTGTTGCCTGAGGCTTGGTTTGGTTAATAACCTGTCTGCCTCTGGGGATTTTTTTCCCCTTAGTTTTTGCGTTTTTCTCAAACTTCGCTATTTTTAAATTAAAATATAGTATACTCTGGATCCGAGGCTTTTAATAACTTGCAAACTTTGACACCCATAAAAATAACATTTACCCAAATGAGAGTTATTTCTGCTCATTCCTCAGTGTCTCACTTAGTTTTTTTTCCCCCTGCACACATCGATTTTGATAGGAAAATATTTCTTCCAGCATTTTCTAGCCAGGTGCCAACATGATCTAAGGAGCTGTTTACAAAACCCGTCCTAATGATTTGCTAGATTTTTGACAAACCAATAAATCACTGGTAGAAAGGTGGTTCTGACTGGGATTAAATAATGAATAAAAACATTTATCTACACTTGGTTATAAAGCTTCCCCAGGAAATGGACTACGTCCGTAAGAGCCTGTGGTTGAAGGTATAATCTCTTGGCACACAATGACCATGGTGGCCCAGGCCTTTAATACCAGGACTGGAGAACAGAGGCAGGTGGATCTCTGTGAGTTGAAGGACCAGCCTGGTCTACATGGTGAGTTCCAGGCTAGCCAGGGATACACAGTGAAACACACACAGGCACACACACACACACACACACACACACACACACACGGTCTGGGGATAGAGAGATAGGAGAGGCACATTCCACACTGCATGGGATTTAGTGGCTTGTCAGAGGAGGAATGGTGGATTTCACAGTCACCTGGGCTGTGCCATCTTGCTTTTCAAATTCGTTTTTTAGACAGGGTCTTACTATGTAGCTTAGACTGGCCTAAAATCCTTGAGTAGCTAAGGTTGGCCTGGCATTCCTGAGTGCTAGGATCGCAGATGCTATGGTTGTCCCTATCATTCAGACAGACACAGTGGGAATTTGCACACTGCTATCCCTGTGAGGCATCGAGGCAGGGGCATGGCCCTAATGGCCATTGGTGGAGGGAGATTCCAAGGACTTGGATCTCTTAAGCAAGGTCTTACTTCCAGCACCAGGATGCGCTGCTCACCATCAACCCTGCAAGCCCAAGGAGGCTGAAGCTTGCCCAGTGGTGAAGGGTGACCAGGGCCAGCCCTAGCTGGCTGGCCTGCAACATGTCACCCCAATTGCGGGGGCACCACCTAATCTACAGAAGCATTACTGAGTTGGCTATCAGGAGAGAGAGACTTTCTAGGCTGTTCCAAGCTGGAGGAGCTCAGGAAGAGACTTTGGCTGTGGTTGGTATCTCACAAGTTGAGATAGGTGTGCTTAGGTGTAAGTACCTGTGCTTTGTATCCTGTCTCATGCGCCCCACCCCTACCCCCAAGAACATTCACCTCATTGGATTCTCATGCTTTCTGGACAGACAGGCAGCCACCTCCTCTCATTTCCAAGTGTTGCTGCTTAGAGAAGTCAACTGACCTGCGAGGAGCACACAGCAACCCTGAGGCACATTGTCAATGTCTGTAACTCAGTGAGCCAGGGTGACCAGGAGGAGGGGACCCCAATACTGACCTTCCCTGAGATGGTCTTGATTTGTTTGGAGCTCAGGGGCTCGAAGTCCACTCCGATGTAGCCTTCCATGGCAGCCAGGAGGCTCCTGCGCAGGCAGCGTGAGGAATTGGCTTCCACATGAACCTGCTCCCACCACGCAGGCTCATACCAGCCTGGGATGATCCACTGGTACTTGCTGCCAAACATGCTCTCCTCGAAGGCCTGCAGGAGATGGGTAGAGACCCAGGATCAGTGGGGCTTGGGGTGCCAGGAGAGGGTGCAAGAGCCACGCTTCCTCCTCCCAGAAGGTGTGCAGACTTCTGCCAGCCACCTCCTCTCTATGACTCTGAGGACCTCAGATAGCATTTGCACATTAGGATAAAACATGGAGGTCTAAGTCCTGGAGAAAACTGAGGACTCTATTTGCTCATAGAAAAGCCGGTGGAAGGTTCTAGCATGACACCCACGAGATGTGTGTTTCACCATGAACTCCCTGGTGGCCTAAGAGGAAAGGGCAACAGGTTGTTTGCAAAGCTCTCATCGCTTATGAGGAAGAAGCATAGCGTTTCTGGTCTTCAGCCCTAAAAGATGTTACCATCAGAGCAATGGGCAGGTGCCAACATCCCCTCCACACCAGAGTTCTAAATGCTGTTGAGTGTGGCCCAGCACACAATTTGGTGCTTACAGAAGGTGCCATTGGCAGACAGCCTCTGTGAACCCTTGCCCATGGCAAGGCAGTGCCTCTGGCTGCACACAACAACCTTCGTCTTCTTGATTCATACTCATCTTCCCCCTGAGGTGGTCAGAACAAGGCTTGTTATCCTCATTCTAGAGATGGAGAAACTGAAAATCAGAGAGGGAAAGTGACTTCTCTAAGGCCACATAGCCAGGGAAGAAAGTCAGGCTTGGCCTGCTGACAATGAGGCTACAGAGTTTTCTGCTCATCAAATCCAGGAGGCCTCCAGAATGTTCCAGTGTATCTTTGTTTTCCATTGTTCTTACCATAGCTACTTCATATCAGGAAGAACATGCTTTCCGTGGCTTAGACATACTCAGCCAAATACTAAGTACTGTCTTGGTCTGTCACACTAAGCTCAGAGTAATGTCTCCAGGTGACAATCATATTCCCATCAGTGACCAGATGCCCATGAGAGAGGTATCTGCCTGTGTGGGGGTGGACACTGCCTTGGAACTAAGATGGGCTGCACTCATCACATTGGGAGGTGATGGTCTGACCTCCAGGGAAAGCCCTACCCCACAGTGAGCAGAAGCCCATGGCATGGGTGTGGGTCGGGGGGCTCCTCCGTGCAATCCCGCATCCCACATCTGAGGCCTTTACCTATTGGTTAAGTGAAGGATGGGAGAGTAGCTGGTACTAACGACAGAGATCTTCTACCACCTCTGCTATGGAGTCTCTGACCTCATCAAGCTCCCAGCTCCCCCATTCTGGACACTGTACTTCTACAGATGAAACCTCAGCTCATTTTCCTAGCGACTACGTTCTCATTGTGCCGCATCAGAGTTTTGGTGGTTGGCATGGAGAACACTCATCTTTCACGTGCATAACAAATTCACAGCTGGACAAAAGCAGGCAGCAGCTGGGAGCCCTCTGAACAGGGTTCAGTCTCAGAAACATTGTTTATGAGAAGATAATGCCAGGTCCTCACCGAGAACAAGACGTGGGTGTGTTGTTTTGGTTTCGAAACAGGGACACTGCATAGCCCAGGCTGGTCTTGAACTTATGCGGGGAGACAAGTGATACCATCACTCTGGGAGGGACTAGACTTCTGAACAGAAGTTTCCCAAGCTCTGGTCATTCCATCTGTGGCAGATCCTGTGTGGCCCCAGCTACCCATGGGGGAGCCCCATATGCACTGTCTAACCAGGGCCTGGCTGTATGTACACTTGGGTTCTCACCCTAGAGTACGGGAAGTCTGCTGTCGGCTCCCCTGTGCATATGAGACTGTCCGGCTTAAAGGATTTCCCTAAATACAGCTGCTGAGGAAATGGTGCAAGACTCTAGAGTCATTTTAAAGTCCCCCCCCTTTTTGGGCAAAATAAAGCCTCTTTCTGGAAGCTTCCTGGGTCTTAGAGTTCTCTGTTTACAGGGGAGACATATTGCTTAGGAGGCACAGGTAACCAGAGGGCAGCCCAAAGCCTGGTTCTGACCCTAACCACTGTTACCGTTCACCAGGACTGCGGGCTACACAGTGTACAGGAGGCAGCAGGGTCAGGGCACTGTGTGTGCAGCCCTCACTCCCTCGTGGTCCATCCAGCCTGCTCCTTGAGGAGCTTTCCAGAAGGCAGAAGCAGGTGTCCATGCTCTGAAGCCTTTTCTACCATGATGTCCTGCCTTCCTCTCTGCCATCCTCCCTCCTCAGGGCAGCCAGGGGTCATGAGGTCCTAGACGTTTATTATTCTACAAAAGTCCTGCTCATTTCAGCTCCTTATTCCTTGTCCCCAAGGTTCTTGATGTTTCCATGTGGATCCCACAAGGCGCGTGTGCAGAGTAGAACCATAGGCAGAAGCAGGCACCTACAGACAGGCTCAGTCACACCACCCACTGTGTCCAGTTTCTGTGCTGGTCCTTGTGTGAAGAGCCACACTGTGAGATATAGAGCACTGAGGGGGGCTGGGACACTTGTCTGTGTCCTTTGCCAGACAGGGTGGGTTTGCGTATGTTTCCCTGGGACTTCCAGGGCTAAGCCAGGGACATTTTACAGATGGCATGGTGCTGGATAGTCTTATGTCAACCTGACAAAGATAGGAGTCATCTGAGAGAAGGGGACACCAATTGAGGAAATACTTCTGCAGGATAGATCCAGCTTTAGGCAAGCCCGGCGTATAGCATTATTCTTAATTAATGGTTGATGGAGGAGGGCCCACCCCATTGCGTGTTGTGCTATCCCTGGGCTGGCGGTCCTGGGTTCTATAAGAAGGCAGGCTGAGCAAGCTATGTAGAGCAAGCCAGTAAGCAGCATCCCTCCGTGGCCTCTGCATCAACTCCTGCCTGCAGGTTCTGGTCCCACTTGAGTTCCTGTCCTGAAGATGACCAGTACCCAACAGAGACTGTGCAGTACTGTCTGAACACAAGAGTTCTCTGCTTCCTCCACCACTCTGGCTCCAGGTTTTCTATTGGTGGTGGGTAGGGGCAGGGGTCTCAGGACCCTCTGCCTGATGGGCTAGCTCAGACTCAGGTCTGCTAGCCCCTCCAGCCATGGTTCTTATTGGCAGTAGTTACGGAACCACAACACACATTTCTTTAACAAAATCCAATTTTCACTTTTTATTAGGTTTCCCTTTGCCTCCCCACTCCACATGCAAGAGGGACATGTCCTTTTTCTGCAAGTTCCCCAGCCATAGTAGTGATAAGCTTTCCTGTCAGCTGAGTAAGAGTATCTGGGGCGATGCCCCTCCCCGACACTCAAAGTCCTCCCCCCACACACACACTCAAAGCCACCCCCCCCATCAAGCAGGCATGGCTGAGATTGTTGCTTGCATTTTAGACAAGAGAGGCAGCTGAGACCAGAGATGTTCAGTGACTTTCCTAAGAATTCACAGCTGGCAGAGAGATTCTGCCACGGATTCTGAATCAAAGCACCAGTTAACGCCAGCATTGCTCAGGGCTGTATATAGACTCTGCAGTAGCTGGCTCCCAGCTTAGGAGTACAATAGAGTACTGCTTATCCCTGTCCTGGTCTGCCCTGTAGGCTTCCAAAGTTGTGCTGGAGGTCTTTCTCCACTTGTCCAGCTATTCCCCAACTCTAGGACTAGGAGGGTCTGGAGGTCTCTGCTCTGAGATCACACTCCCTCTATCACCCAGACTTTCTATCCAGAGTGAAGATATTGGTGGACTCTCTCTAGGGTCATTGGTACTGACACTCTCTCCTATGGCACCGACCATGTATGTCCTCGTGGGCAGACCCCATCCCTGGGTCCAACCCAATGCTCTAAGAGCCTCCTCCATGAGTGAGCAACCAGCCAAGGCAGAAAGCTCTCCCAGTCAGCATGGAGATTTCTCCAGAGCACAGGCAGGAGGGGAGGTGGGAGAGGAGACGGGATAGAGCCCAGCCTGGGCCTGTGGCCTGAGGCTAAGCTGGACGGCTAAATGCAAATGCCAGGGCTCCTGGAACCACTTCTCTCTGGCACAGACAGGTCTCAGCCATACACGGTTTTGGTTTGGAGGCTGCTGAGAGTGTTCACAGCTCAAGGGAATCGGCCTTTTTTGGGGCAACGCTCTCTTGATCATCACTTCCTCCCAGAGCCCTTTGGTTTCTTTCTCGTTGGACATTAAGGCTTTCAAAAGTCTAGGGAAGCTGGTGAGCAAATGGGTCAAGGCCAGCTTCTTCCCAGGGCCTTCTCCATGAGGAAGCTTGCTTTGCTGTTCCTCTGGGCCCTCTGGGAAAACAAGGCTTTCTGAATCTTGAGACATTGTTGAGTCAATGCTGGCTTACGTGTGGCTTCTTCCTTGGGTTTGGACAGCACAGCCCTCTTGCTGCTCCTCAGGATCCTTGTGCCCAGCTCCCTGTGGACCCCTCTTCTGCTGTTACCTTTCATCATGCCCATTTATAGATGGGCTGGTGCTCAGGCTTCATAAAAAGAATGTTGTCTCACTCAATGTTCCCCTGTGAGCCAGTGAGGTGGAGTAACCACTCTCACTTTTTTAGAGGTGTTCTCTGAGGCTGTAGGGGCCCAAAAATGCCAATGTAACAGCCACGGGGCCACAGGTGGCCAGCTGACCCCGGCATCACCTCTCCAAGGCCTGGCAGCCTCCTCTGGGGATGCTTCAACTGTCTTGCTTTGCTCCTGAGCTGGCAGGCTAGGGTGACCCATGTGTCCTTGGCTTCTAGCCACTGTCTGCTGTCACTCCTGGGCCTGCTGGGTACCTGCATCTCTTCATTCAGCCTCACCTTCTAGATTCGTCCTCAGTCTCCTTCATTTTTCCCACCTTGGCTCTGTCGTGATGAATTTAGAGTCCCTGCATGCTTGCTATTCATACTCCAGCCAAGTTATGGACAAAATGGGCAAGAGAATACAGAGCTGTGGCCCCTCTGCTAGAGAACACTCCAAGAATGACTTTAGAAAGGCCATTGGTGGACCTCCCTCCTGACCTACGGGGAAGAGGGGAACCAAGCCCAGCAATGGAAGCAGACATGTTCCTCCGTGGGATCTATCTATCTATCTATCTATCTATCTATCTATCTATCTATCTATCTATCTAT